ATATAGAATACGTACAACATTGTTTTGATGCTGTGAAAACCGATATGATAATTCATCTAATTGTGTTGGAATGAACGATTCATATATCTTTTTGAAATAATCCGCAACAGATGAAAACTTATTTCATTATCCTAAAACCATTGAAATGTCATGTCATTTTGTGAATTGTTCAAATTCATTATACAGGTCGTCAAGCTGATTTTTGTGGTATATAAGTTCAGATAAATAAGTACTTAAACATTCAATACTGTGATAACATAGAACTAAATCACTTGTGGGTGATTGGAATTGTTCAGAATAAGACTTTGTAATAGAAAAGACAACAAATAATGGAATAATAAAATCTATATCCATAATTGCTTTTAAATATGCTCTTGCTGATGCACTTGTATCAGTGTCTCCATTCTCAATTAGATATTCTAAGAATCTACCTGTTATAGAGAAAAGAATCTTCATAGAAAGTGTACAATCGCCGATTCGTCAACATACTAATCGCTAAAAATAATTGTTTGGCAAACACGTATTACAAATATAAAAGCACGTTTGAGTCATAGTCCAACACCAGAACGTCAAGTAACAACAGCCACAGTGGCACCCGAACCAGTTGTCTCAAAAGAATCGACTAATGAAGAGAAACAGACAAGATCAGCACCAACTCAATCTTCTACTTCTCAGCATTCATCTGGTACACAGCGTCGCAAGTCCACCCATCATCATGTTCATCCTTCAAGACGACCACAACATCGACAAAGACCCAAAACACCGGTTTCATCTTCTCCCAGCAGTCGATCAAGATCACACTCAACATCACCATCAAGAGAGAAAAGCACATTGGAAAAGTCCAAGTACGTTTCAACCCTTAAGCGCCCGCTTGAGATGTTGTTTTATTGTATAAGCTGAAGAACGCAGCATATCACAAAATGAAATATTTTTAAATAAATAGTTTCTTCGAAAACTAACCTTTCATATCTATTTCTTATGGCTACATTTGTTTTATTTTAGCACTTCTGTCAATCATAAACCGTATCGTGACCTGGATGAGCCTGGTGATGACATAAACTTTGATAATTTTGATCAGTTTGGTGTGAGCGGAATTCAAACATTTGCATTAAGAAGTCGTGGATTAAAAGCAGTATCAAAACCTTCACAACAACGCTCAACAACATCTTATTTGGATTTAACGGATAATTTATCATCAAATATCCGTAGTCCTACACATTCTTCATCTAGTTTAAGTCATTTATCATTAAAAGATCGTGCTATTATCGATAGTAGTATACCGCATGAACGTGATCCAACAACTTTAATTAAACAAACGGCTTCTACAAATCATGAATCATTCAATGAACAACGAACTTTTGCAAATTCGTTTGCTAATATCAAATTTCCATATCCTGTTATAAACGATAATCGTGATTTAGATACAATAAATCGTATTCTAAAATGTAGAACAAAAATGTAATCATTTACTATCTGAGCAAACAAATTCTGCGAATAGTAGTGAACATGAAAGTATACAACAACAAATAAGACGTTTGCAAAAACAAATTGAATATGTTAATGGACGTATTAAAATTGAAAAATTAAAACGAACAAAATGTAAAACACAACGAGAAAAGGAACAGGCAAAGAAAAAAATGCAGTTTTTAATTAAAGATGTACAGAAACTTCATTCATTTATGAAAACAGAAAATAGAAATTTTCTAAAAGAAAATGCAACAACATCTCATAATAATTCATTCGAACACACACAACATTTCGAAGAAGAAAATAATGATGTCGATGTAGAAAACGAGCAAGTTGAAGAGGAGCAATTGTCACTAAAAGATTTATTAAAAGTTGTTGGGAAAAAAACAATATTTAATAGTGATTCAGAAGGTGAAACTGATAGTGACAAGAAACAAAAATATCAGGATGAAGTTATGCAACAACCACAAGTACCCGTATGGCCATCACAAAGTGATACACGTACAGTACCAAATACACAAGTATCGGATCCAGATTTTGCGCAATTACAACCGCCACGTTATAAACGTTTCGATATGATGCGGTTATAAGAGAACGTTTTTTAGACGTAAGCTTCAGATGGCTTAGTTTTAGTTCTTCTAACGTTCTTATATTGAGTGTGGCAGTGCCATAGAGTCAATTTTATTTTTTTAGACTTGAACGTTGAAACAGAATCAATGGATTATGATGGTGGTAGGACTAATCCATCATCTTCATCAACCATTCCGTCTTTGTTTCCATTTAATATGTTGAATTTTCCACCTACAAATAACAATCCATTAATAAACAGATATCCATCAAATAATCAATCATCGTCAACGCCTCCTAATTTAGCTGATCTTCTTTTTACATTGAATGGAAATTCTAATTTATCATCTCAACAACAGCAATCGTCGAATATGGCATTTTTTCAAAAATTATTTGATGGCGCACAACCACCATGATTACGATAGTGATGATAATAATTTATCAATTAACAGTGGTGATATGAATAATTTCACAAGCGGTTTATCAGAAGAAGACGATTCATGGGTCGATATTGAAAATTGGATGGCAGATGAAAATAAAATAAAACAAGAACAACAACAGTAAGCACGATCACAAGATGAAACGATTAAAAATATTGAAAAACAACACAATAAAACACCAACATTAAAAAATACTACATTAACATTGACATTACCAAGTTTAAATCGTTTTACTCATTTAGGAAAACCCACTACACGAATAGAACGAACATTTCCATCATTCTCAACACAAAAAAAAACGGACGGAAAACAATGTATTTTTTATATCTTCATCAGTACCCACATCATCCGTTTCATTGAGTATGATACTTTATGGTTGTTGAATTAGACCCAGCTAGGATTTTTTCCCACAATTATCTGTCCCGATGGGGTTACGATGTAAAGTTATGTTTATGGTATGGTAATTGGATAAGGAACCGACCATGGATACTCCAAGTTAAAGGTAGTTAAAAACCTCATTGCGAGTTCCACTGGCGGCTTCTAGGAAGAGGTCTAGTTCTGGGCTAGACCCTACACTTTTTGTTTTTTGCATATTCTTTATTTTAAAAAAGTATGCCTTCTTCCGTCTCTTGCAAACAACCGAGCATCTCGAAAATCATCAGTTGCTACCATGGATCGTTGAATCATAGAAGTAGTATGAGACGAAAAAGTGACCGAAACAGCGTTTTTTGGAGCAAATAGAGCAGTGGATATTCACAGCATCAAAACAATGTTGTACGTATTCTATATCCAATACCATCAAATATTGTTAATCATACATTTAATGCTACAATCAAAAGTATTTTTGAATACTATATTGATGATTTGGTAACTGATGAT